CGGCTTCTTCCGTCAGGGAATCTACACTACGGTAACGTAGCGCCATGGTCACTGTGCCACTGGCCCTGATTTCATGACTTTATGGTGAACCAAAATGATTAAACACTTCCGTACTTTTAAACAGTCTGCGCTTTTAAAGTAACTTTTTTTTTAAGACGTCATAAGATTATTGGATGTGTTACACTTTAGGTGTCTATATTATCAGTTATATTTTATGAACAATTCAAAGCCTGGTAAACAACATTATTAATTTAATAAGCCCGACGTGCTAATTCAGTAGGCGAATTTCCTTGTACCGTAAATACTCCAATAATACGGCGTGAGAAAAGTAGAAAGTCGAAAAATAGAAAAGTAGAAAAGAGAAGTGATACACGTGATTGACTTCCGGTTAATAAAAAGACATACACTCAATATATATCTTCATTTTGACGCTTAGCTTAACGTATATATATATATATATATATATATATATATATATATATATATATTTTTTTTTCACTCTTGTCTTATAAAGTCGGCTGTGTTGAGTGGAGCTCGCCTGAAAAGCTCGTGCCCGGTTCAGATCAGCCATCTGGATCATCTCGTGCTGACGGTTCGGGATGTGAAGAGAAGCACAGATTTCTACTCCTCGGTCTTGGGAATGGGTGTTGTAACTTTTAAGGTAGACCACCTAGATCACCTGTAGCCCACTGACAACCCATGCATCAGTGGCCTGTCCAGCCTCTTCTATTAGTGATGGAAATATTATGTCATTGTAATATAAGAATTACCACACGGGGGCAGCATTGTACAAATAACACCCTTCCACTCAACTCGGCGTAGAACTTCAATTAACAGCATCAGTTTCTTAACATGAAGCAGTGGATGAGTTTTAAAATGAATAAGATGAAACGTACATGTTTACTTGCTGAAAACTGATAACTCGTACATTTTCACCACACTGTACTGCTTAAAAGCTTGTGCAGTTTTAATCATTTAATTTATAAATCACCAGTATCACATAAATGGTTAGGGCACTAATACAGGGTGTCCCATACCAAGTCTCCATACATAATACATAGGGGACTATGTACGCCAGCACCACATCAGTTGTGCCTTCGTCAGTGGATGTTCGTGGACGTCCACTTCTCGATTGGTCTGCAACACTTCCAGTCTGTTTGAATTCGTTATTAAGTTTGGCAGCAGTGTCGTGTGTGATGTGCTTGACAGGTTTCCTGTTAAAGTCCATCGCAACCTTGCAACAGCTTCCCGATCCAGCCATGAGAATGATTTCAATATGTTCTTCTGTTGTCCAAGGCATTCTTAAAGGATATCTGAAAAAAAATAATAAATAAATAAATAAATATATATATATATATATATATATATATATATATACAATACTGTGCAAAAGTCTTAGGCACATGCAAAGAAATGCTGTAGAGCAAAGATGCCTTCAAAAATAATGAAATTAAATATTTCTACATTTAAAAAATACTATAAAGAGACTTTGACTGTCACACTCACTTCTTATTTTTACTTAAAACCCAGCAGCCTTCATTATGTTTCTTTGTCTGAAAAGTGTCTCTTATGTAATCTGCTGCTTTCTTTACTGACATACAAACATTTTTCTGTAATATTTAATTTTGTGCTTGAAAACTAATGTTTGGAAATCTAACAAGTTTTTGTACTGACTCGACAATGTAGAAATAATAAAATAAAAATCTATAACAAAGTTTGTACTAAAACAAATAGGGTGCCTAAGACTCTTGCACAGTACTGTATATATATAATATAAACCATGAAAAAATTTGGAAGACATTTTCCTAAAAAGTGTTAATTTCCCCTATGAATGGAGACTTTTGGGACACACTGCAGAGTAACATCTCAATTCTCAGTCCTTCCTTCTTTCCTTCCTTACTGCCACCCATCCATCTTCAGTCCAAAGGAATTTACATCACAAATCATTTATAATTGTTGTTGCGCTCTGATGTTCCCTCAACTGTGATGTGCAATGTGAATGTAACACACTGATCAGCTTCATCCTACACTACAGCTTTCCTCTGCTCTACATCTTAGGGAAACCGTAAGGCTCTGAGCTTTGGAGAGCAGAAATTCAACTTACACGAGGTTGGGAAAGAGTTTGAGCCAAAAGCCAATAATCCTATACCCGGCTCAGCAGATCTTTGTCTCATCACAAAGACCCCGCTGGAAACAGTTGCTGCTCACCTGAAGGTGCACCTAATTCAGAACAATCCAGTCTTTCAGACTACAGAAGAACATGCAATATTGATTCCTGTTTTTATAAATGATTTGCAGAATTATTATTATTATTTTTTTCTTATCTATTGACAGGAATGTGGCGTGACGATTGAGGAAGGGCCAGTTGAGAGGACAGGAGCGGTAGGCCCCATCAAGTCCCTGTACTTCCGAGACCCTGACCACAACCTGATCGAAGTTTCCAACTACAGTAACTAAGACTTGAACAACTGCAGTTTAATTGTGGAGAAAGCTGCTGTTTGGCTGTTACCCTCTTAACAGAAAGAACAGGACCAAAGATCATCAAATCATACGAAACTATAAAACTTGTGAAAATGTACATTTCTGGTAGATGTAATATTAATCACCCTATGGCAAATGCAATAAAATAAAAGCTGTCAGTAAATCATTAAAAATTTTTTTTGTTAATTATACAGTAAACCTCCAAGACATTGCACCTAATAGAGGTGTCCAGCTACAACTGATCCCCAAACTCTACTAGCTACAGCTTCCACGTTATTTAAATAACACTGAAAGCATTATCCTAGTGTCCACAGTGTTGTGTTAATCTTTGAATCCACACTTTCCATTTGGACTTCATATTAGATCACTGTCTAAAACAGTGTTTCTTTAGCTTCAGTATTAAGATTCAGTACTTTCTGTGGTTTGAGAGGTAAAGATCCTGGCTTGTACTTGTACAACCTCTCACTTAATCTAGCTGTCCAGAAACAAGCTTCAGTATATTCCAAACTCAGCTGTCAGGGTCTACACACACACACACACACACACACACACACACACCAATACAGTGTCTGCACACATTACACATACGATTCTATCACACTATCCGCATTTAAAGCACTGCATGGCCTTGCCCCACTACATCTCACAGAGCTTGTACATCTTTACACTCCAGCTGACACACTTGGGTTCTCAGGTGTTGCTCTACCAATTAAGTCTTTGGGTGCTTTTCTACCAGACAATCTGTTATGACCTGTTATGACAATGTCCTGTGGACTTTCTGTACGGGTCACTTGTCAAATCCATGCTGACCACGTTTTGAATCATCGCTCATGTCAGACAATCCCCATTCTGAAAAGCACTAACATTCCTGTCTATATGTTGAATTACAATGTGAATTTGAGTATGAGTAAGGTGCTATGTAAGTAAGAAATAAAACACGACAGGGCCTACTGTTACAGGAAAATATTTTCAAATAACAGCATATCCCAAAATTTTTTTCAATTCCTTCTATACCACAGTGATACAGTCATGCACAGTACAGTAAAAAACGATGAAGCATATTTACAGTACATACTGCAATATATTTACAGGTAAGGTAAGATTTTATCCAAAGCGAGTTACAGTTGAAGCAGGATATTCCTGAGCAGTTGAAGGTTAATGGTCTTGGTCAGGGGCACAACCATGGCAGCTTGGTGGTGCTTGGGATGTGAATTCACAACGTTCTGATCTGTGGCTCAGCGGCTTAACCACTGAGTCATCACTTCCCTCGACTAGTTTACCCCGATTCAGCAGCCTTTACCATTAAAGTTACTTGTAAAGTTCGTGAAGTAAAAGACAGATTTCAATGCATATAAGCATACATGAAGGAGTGTTTGTGTTCACTTAAAAGAGTTACTAAAATAAAGGGCACAAAATTGATCCACTAATTTCCAGAATCATTACCATTCTCACTTCCACATAAAGCATTAGATATCTCACTATGCATTTTGTCACTATGCTGGTATTTTACTCTAAACCAATGCACTGTTCTAAATACCCAGTTGTTTAAAATGCAGTCCTGTAAAATAATAAAATAGTATTTACTATAAATCAAATACTGCAAATTTACATCAGTGCACTTGTAATATTTGTAGAACTTTTGCAAGACAAATTAATTCCTGTTGTCACTTTTGTTATAACAGGGAACAGTGGTTCCCTCACCAGACTTTTTTTTTCCCTCACTCTTGTAATTAAGAAGACAAACATGGAACTTCTCATGTTACAGAGAAACTGGAACGTGCAAAAAGTCCCTTGTTCTGATGAATTTTCCACGTCAGAAACATTACTAGACAATTACAAATGGCTGACACTGGAGACTCTATTCATAGATTTTAAATAAATATCTTCTTACAGAAGACATTTTTCTTTCTTAAATAACTTACATAACTTCATTTTTGTGTATGATTATGTGGAAAGCCTGGCACGCACATGGAGTTGTTACTGAATTCTAACTTATTAGAACAGGCACATAATATAACCTTGTGATTTGAATTAGAACTTTTACTGAGCTGCTGTTGTAGAAAATGAATAAACTATTTGCGAGAAATCGGATTCGAGAGTTCAGGAGTGCTGTGGTATAAAAAAAATAAAAAATGATGTTAAAGAAATCCTGCACTATTTTTCAACTTAATCCTATAGCTTGCATCTGTAGCATATGTGTGATAATCAAAACCAGAAATTTTTACATGTTTATCAGTATAATTCATTTTCCTCAAGTTGACACATTTTGGTAGAAAGATTTCATGAATTAAATATGTTTATAAATTAAGCTCTAAGCTCCTTTCAGAGATGAGGCTGTTGTTGTTCTTGCAGCTGCTCCCTTTAGGAGTTGCCAACACATATCACTTTCCATTGTCCATATTGATTTGGCACAGGTTTTACACCAGATGCCTTTCCTGACACAGCCCGCCCCATTTATCCAGGCTTTGGACCAGCACTGAGAGTGCACTAGCCTGTACACCCCCAATGGCTGGGGTTGGTGCCCTTCGTGGGGCTCAAACCCACGGTCCTGAGATCAAGTCCCACGCTGTACCAACTGCGCTAGCCAGGTATCCTTTCAGAGCTCGGGCCATTTTAATGAAATGTTTTTGATTTATGCATTACCAGCGTAGTTACACTGCTTTTTGGTGCTTGGATACCACGGAATGTTGGGAATCACTTTTAATTGTATCACCATTGTTTGAGATAACTTCATATAAAACCTAATAGTTCTTAACTTAAAACTTAAGAACTATTAAACTTCCGCTCATGTCTGTCTCATCCTCTATTGACCTCTATTGTTAGAGTGTAGTAGTTGCAATTTTAAATGTTTATTTGTCAGAATTCAACAACCCTCTGACAACCCTTAGCCCTTTGACTACCACTGCAAATGAGTTTGGAGTAAACAGGTTTTCTTCTCTTGCCTCAGGACAGGACAGGTCGAGAGGATGCGGGAATTGCACGAAGATTGGAAAATTATTTCAACCTGATGGGGGAGCTGTTTGTTTCTTAAGTGCTGCCAAAGCCTAATTACATTAAACTATAGCACACCTTTAATTATAATGTCATTAAAAGGTCATATAAAATAAAGGTTTAGGTGCATTTAGATGGTCCTTTTCTTTCTCCAGCAACTTTTTTTTTTTTTTTACTTTAAGGTAGACTGACTAAGTCACTTGAAAGTTCACACAGCAACTTTACTTTTATTTCAACTAGTGCAGTAAGAACATCACGTCTACAGACAAGTCGTTGCTACGTATGCAGTGCAAAATTGATTTTAATGAAAGTTATCTGTAGGAAATGAGACATGTTTTAAATCTGAAGAGGCAGGTAGTTATCTTTAAGATTGTAAATGAGTGACTACAATATTGAATTATTCTTATTAAATATTCTTATTCTTATTGAATTATTCTTATTTTAGAAATAAGTCATTGCTACTAATTATGCTTATTAAATCTATCAATTACTGTAACACAAACCACCCTGTTTTGGGCTTTAATGGGAGTGTGTTGAAATGGAATCTCTATTGCATTGTTTTCACTCATCATCATCAAGGTGTGTAGTGGAAACTCCAGAAGGATTAAACGACCATTTATTACAGTTACGTGTGTTTCTGTGTGTGAGGGAGAGGCACCAGGGTTTGTGCTCTGGCTGTGCGGTATGCGCTCAAACTCCGTAGAATGCAGGAAGTTTGTCCAGGATGGCGTGGTCTCATGCCTCACATTGCCATGCTGTTAAGTCTCTCTCAAACACACCCCAGTGCCCAGAGCTACATCCTGTCCTGTGTTCATGTGGATAAGTGAGAACAGCACACACAGAGTAGTTTCTCAAGTCTGTGCTATGTCAGGAATGAGGGTTTCTCTTGTACTGGGGCAGAAGATGAGTAGAAGAATTTCAAAATCCAACAAAACATGAAATGTTAATGTTTATAAATGTACAGTGTAGCTGCTAGATCACAGATTCTTTTTTTTTATGAGCTCTAGTTCATTTTGACATTCACAGCTTACATATATTCACATCTTCCTTGGCCCTTGAGAGATGGCTATGAGATGTCTAATTCGGGCATTAACAGAGAACTAAAATAGTACTAGCCCTTAGAAAATGGGAAAATGGAATACCTTCAAATTAAAATCAGAAAGCTCCGTACTGTGCAATTATGCACTTGTCAAATAAACTGTAATTAAAACCAAGTAGGCTGTGATCATGAAGATTCGTATTTGCAAGATTCACAGCTGATACACTACAAAGGACCGGCTTTTCAGGACCCTGAAATAAACAACTGATATAACAGATGTCAGTTATTTTATCAATTTATATTGCTGTCATTTTAGGCAGTGTAATGATTAATGTTTCAACTGAAACATATTCATACACTGCCCTCCAAAAGTTTGGAAACGCCTGAACAAAATATCAGCATAAATCCTCTTTAGTTAGTGACCATTTTGCATTGATAATAAGGGACAACACTAGGCATCCGAGCAGTCAGTTTATTCAAACATTGACTTGATATATTACCCCAAGCCTCCTGGAGGATTGCCCAAAGATGATTCACACTGGTTGGACACTTCTTACGGACATCACGGTCCAGTTCCTCCCATAGCAGCT